AGCCCCACCGACTCGCCGGTGCGTAAGACGGCGAGCCAGCGGCGCTCCTGGCAGGACCTCATAGAGACGCCGCTGACGAGCTCAGGACTCCACTACCTGCAGACGCTGCCGCTGGAGGACTCTGTGTTCTCCGAGGCGGCCGTGGTCTCCCCCGAGCACCGGCGGCAGTCGACCTTGCCCACCCAGAAGTGCCACCTGCAAGACCACTATGGCCCCTTCCCCCTCGTGGAGGGTGAACGGATGCAAGTGCTGAATGGGAATGGGGGAAAGCCCCGAAGTTTCACTCTGCCTCGGGACAGCGGCTTCAACCACTGCTGCCAGAGCCTTTCAGTCGGTGCTGCTGATCACCACGAAGAAGCGCAGCAGAAGGAGGTGGAGGAGGAGGAGGAAGAGGAAGGCAAAGCAGCAGAAGAAAACCAGGAAGATAAAAGTAAGTATGGGATGTTTCTGTGGCTTTTCAAGAGTCCTGTTCGTGTAACATAGAGGTTGTTTCTCCTTTTTTCTATCAAAAAACTCCAACAGTCTTTCAACATCCCCCATGTTTTACCAGGTCTCCCTTGTCGCACACCTCTTCTATCTGCCTTATGTGTAAGGCTTAATAATCAGAGTGCTGTATGACCTCTCATGATCACCAGACACTTCCCCGTAGGTTGGTCACCAATCACCTCCTACTAGTAGTTCTTAGTTATAAATCCATTTTGCTTCCATGCTTTCTTCACACTTCCACTTGCACAGTATCCTCCCGCACTGACACATGTATGTCTCAGGACATACTTAGTAAGATTTCCAGCCAACTCCATCTGGGTTGTAAAAAACACTCAGTAAATCCCGGAGTGCAGGGTCAGGCTGTGATTGTGTAGTATCCAGGCGGGCAGGCCACAAGACAGCCCAAAAGCTGTAAGAAGTTGAAAAAGAGTGGTTTTTCTCCGGTTCCTCACCTTGAGATTTATAGAGAGAGAAGTTCAAAAAACATTTCAAACAAACAAAAAAATTAATAGAGAACAACTATGTGACCAGCGGGGCTTAAAAAAAATCATAACGCTGAGTAACTGTCTCTTACATGGCACATCAACTCCATAGCTATTAGTGCTACTTGTCAAAATTAATCCAAATAAACAGGGATTGGAGAAGGTCCCTGCTCCTCCTGAACATGTAAACACATTTCTGTGTCTGTTTCATGCTCTGTCCTTCACTGTCATTTATGGAGCTTCACAGCATGTGTTGCTAGCAAAGTTGAGTTCACACCCAAGTTGTAGGGTCAGTCAACTAAGCCTGCATCCATGAATCATGGGGTTATGCTGCGATTAAATTACCTGTAGCGGCAAGGAAGGCAGGATGACCCCTGAAGCTCTCAAAGTGTCTGTGCTCTCTGGTTCCTTCAAATTCAACTTTTTCACTGCAGTAAAGGAGTATAAAAATGGTAAAGAGATAGGAAAGGGTAACAAAAGCTTTGGATAATTAACTACCTACCTAAGTTAATTCATTAAGGTTAGCACCTTTGTTGAGCATTAAAATTCATGTGGACTTTATTTAGTCTACTTGGGAGAGATCAACAGTTTTCCATTGCCCTTATGCTTTAGTCAATAGGTTCTAAACATCTCAAATTCTTGCCTTTGAGAAAACAGTGATTTCTTTTGAAGATACTAAATTTGATGCCATTAAAAGTTAAAAAAGGCACGATTTCAGTTGTGTTCATGCATGACACTTTCCAAAAAAACCATACATTTATTAGGGTAATATTAGACTCTTACTGACTGTGAAATGAAGCTGTCTAATTAACAGGGTTAAATTTCATCAACCATGCAGAATGCTTTATCCTATTTTTAGCCTTCAATTTTGGTTTTCAAATGGGTTTTTACTGCTAGCAATAAAAAAATGTTTTTTTAAAAATTCCTCACAGTCAACGAAAAGGGTCAAGGAGACTTCCCACTGGAGTTCCTGTGCTGTCGGGCATTACTCAGAGATACTGTTGCAGGGCCTAAGTTGTTAGGTGTTTTAAATCTCAATTTTAAGGCTTTTGGGTTCCTGGTTGCAACAATTTATAGCGTACAATACTAATAAAGGGCTAGTGCTTGATATAACAGGCCAGAACTTGACCTCTTCTCCATCTTTCTATACCAATGTCCAAAAAGGGAGAAAAACAGTTTAATTTTTGAAGTCGTCTCCCTGTATACACATACTTTTATTTTAGTTTGGGTGAGGAGGTTTCTTGGTCGAAGCTTTAACAGGAGATTGTTTTTGAGACATTAGCAACCAGCTAGACAAGTAAAGTGCTCATGGTGAATTATTGACCGTGAAATTATAAAACCAGAAAGAAAATACTGTTCAGTCTGTTGAAGAGTTTAAGTGTTGAATTGCTTGTTGCTATGGCTGCAATATTCTGTTTGCAATGCTGGCTTTTTCCAGTGCCCTTACCAGTAAAAGGCAGGAGGGATTTCATGCAAGTGGTGTTCTTAAGTGCAGAATCCCAGTTTCTGAGCTGAGAGATTTGCTTATAACTGCTAAGTCTGCTAACTGGATGGGTGCCCTTGTGCGTGCTACATCATTGCCCCCCTCACCTCCATTGCTGTGGGAAAATGAAACATTGCAACTGGCTGGAGAAAGGGAATCCTCTCCCTTTTAGAAATGTTTTAACCTCACCTTGAACCTTCCCTGATGTGGTATCAGATGAACCTTTTAAATGTATTTATTTGCCTTACACATTTGTGATCCTGACATAGTTCTGAGCTCTTGGATGATTATATGTGTTCTTGTGTGTACATGTATGTGTTTTAAAGCTTAATCATTCCTATTGCTTTTTGTGCGGGAGAAGGAATGCAGCTCCTTTGCAGTTGTTGCTGTACAAGTTAAATGTCATTGCCAAAAGTTTGTTTTCTCAGCTTTTTGTTTTTACATTCCCACTTTTAAAACCTCCTGAGTTTAAATCAAATAGTAAAATGCGGTCCTGTTTCTTCCAATTTCTTTTGCAGAATTATTTTCAAATAACCACACCACAAATTAGGCACTCCATGCTTTTTTCAGATGCTGTCCTCAGCTGCTAGAAGTTAACATAGTTCAGTTGACTTTCTACTAAAGCTACACTGATTTGCAACAACTAAGAATCTGCTCTCTGTTAATCACTACCTGATGCCTTAAATGGATATTGCAAGCTTTTACTGACACTGCAAATAGTTCTGTGTATCAGCTCTGCTGTAATGCCTAGATATATCATGGTAAACTGAAAATATGGGTTGTCCTTTCCTGTGTTTATCCATTAGGATCTAAATTTGTTGTGTGTTCAGTTGCTTCTTTTTGTCATGTTATATCACATTAACATTGCACTGATAATCTTTAATGGATTGTTTTATTTCCCTAATTAAAATGACTTTTGTGTAAATCATTTAGATGTTCCATATTGACACCGTCCTGTAATGGTCTCTTGCTTTGTAATTGAAGAGGATTCTCTTGTGGGATATTTGTGTTTGTCCATGTGTTTGCTCCTGAGGCTATGAAAATGGCAAACAACATTCAGACCTGTGGCACCAAACATCCCTCTTGCTGTGTTGTTCAGAGGCAGCCTGCACACGGAGAGCAGGTCAATGGCTATGGCACGGTGCGTTGCGTTTCTGTGATTCAGTTGTGAAGGACAGGTTGGGCCTTTTCAGGCTTGTCTTCTGCTAGTGGGAGGTCACAGAAGGAGACAGCTGTGCAACATGGCACTATCACCCCCTTCCCCTCCAGCCCCTCCGCTGTCTGTGCTCTCTTGTGTTTCTACAGATTTCACCACTTAATGCTGAAGAACACTTCTAGGATCTTCTTGGGAGACTATTTCCAGGTTTTGTCCAGGGAAAGCTTGCTTCATTTTTTGCTTTATTTTTTGAAAGTATTTTTGATGGTGGTTCCTTCATTTTCAAAGTCTTCTTTGGTTTGTGGGAAAGTAACAGGAATGACTAAGGGTTCACCATTTAAGAGAAGCCGATACTAGCTCTCTACAGAGTGTAAATGGCTGTAGATCCCACCAACTCGGCTGCAGAAAAACCTGCACCTTTTTTCCATACTCCCTGAAAAAGTCTTTGGAGAGCAGTAGCATCCGTGGGAGTCTCTGTTGCTGTCACCTGCCCAGACGGTGCTGGGGCAGGAGCTCTGCTGCTGGCTCCACGTGCTGCGGGGCTGGCCAGAGCAGTATCGGCACACCTTCCAGGGAACTCACACCTGGGACCTGCAACAGTGTGCAAGGGAGCTTTCCACTGTGCAGACTCCATGAGATTTCTTCAGGAATATGGATAGAAAAGCATTGATGTCTATGTTTGAGTTTGAAAAGGTATTTGGAGCAGGAAGAAATCACTTAGACTGTCTTCCCACTGTTCAACCCCATTTCCTTCTTCATTGTTCCTCACCTCTTCATTCTCTTGCTTCTGCAAGTTTTCTGTCCTTTTCCTGCACGCTAAGTACTGTAATTCCTGCTGACACATGTTTTAGGATTTTTTTGTTGCTACTCCATCATCATAATTTTGGAGTATCTTCTATATAGGGTGGACAATGAGAACAAAGTCTTAAATAGATTTCAATAAATCAATAGCTGTCCTTTTGGGGCAATTGAAGGGTGGGGGCCATTTGTTTCCTGCATTGATTTCCCCCTCCGGAGTGTTTACGAGTTGAAACAGTATTCCATGTGTGACTTGTGTCACCTTGAAAAGATTTTGCAGCGTTTCTTAAGCCTGGGCACACTCATGCGTATTCCCTGGCATTTTGCTCCACCACCGTAAGCCCTCGTTCAGGTTTGCAACATCTCCCAGCATCCCACACAGTCTGGTGAGCGCTGTCCCAGAGGAACGCAATAGCCTCATGCTCCAGTCTCTGAAACTTGGCTTTTTACCTTAAACCACTGAAGACACTTGCCAAAGGCCGGAGCAGGAGCTGGTGCTGGCATTTTGCAGCTCAGAGAGATGTCCAGACCCTGCAAAGGATTTCAGGAAAGCTCCCCTTGATGTCAGTGAGAGCTCGTCACTGAAAGAGATGTCAAATGTCTGCTTGTGCTGAGGTACCAAGCCTGAGACTTTTTTCTTTTTTTCCCGGTAAAAAAATTAGGAACCAGCAAGAGAACAATAAGAGAAATGGAGAGCAGTTTCTCCCACCCACCTACCAGTCACAGAAACGAAACTCAAGGTGGCAGTGCTTTTACAAAATAGGACAGATGGGTTTAAGGAGTCCCATGACTAACAACAAGTAGAGTTTCACGCACTGTGCCCAAGAAGGTATATCCGTGGGATATCCTAGGCAGCATTTGACTTCAAGAAGGAGTTTGCGCTAGTAAAAAATATACTTTGAATAAGGTCAGGTATTTCAAATTCTGAAATACAGGTACAGGGAGGCTTGCCTCTTTTTAATGAGAGGACTGTACTGTGCAGTGCAAATGGTATCTCTCAGAAAGATCAATGTTTGCTAATTAAA